ACTACACTGTCACCTACCCCTGCTACACATACTTACCTTTCTTTCTCTCCCCATCAGTCAGTTTGGTCATGAAGTTGAAAGAAAGAAAAAAAAAAAAAGCCCTGTGTGAATTCCAAATTGCAACCTGGTGTTTACATGGGGTTAAGGACTCTCTGCCAGGCCCCATGTGGCAGCACAGGCATTCAGATTCAATCACCGAGCATCAGAACTCCCCCCATTCCTAAAAGCACTGGTTATTTTTCTTTGCACCGAGTAACCAAAGAGAAGAGGACGTGTATATTCAGCTGGGAAGGGCAGCGATTAGGTTAACCTGTTGCTTTGCCCTGCATGGGCAAAGTACAAGTTCACTTTAAGAGCTCTGTTGTTACTAGTAGTATTTTGTTAGGCTGAGTGGTGAGCAGAAAAAAAGTGTTCATTAAAAAAAAAAAAAAACTAGTTCTTAAATCATACAATAAGGGACACAGAATATTCAGGTACATTGGGCTATGCTGCTGTCTTCAGGAGATTGGGCACTGGCAAACAAAGCTGTAAGACAGGCCAGTATAAGCCCTCCCACTCTCATCATGCTCTAGTTTTTTGCTAGTGTCCTAGGAGAACAGACATCTCTCCTGAAAGAAGATAACTACTTTTTATCAAGATTCCTTTTTTTTGTTCTAGAACATTTGGCCTTTTATTGTATTTAATGGGTCCGCCTCGAAGGAACCTAGGCCTCTTATGCTAATACAGAGGGTTGGTCAGCACTGGACTCTAACATGCAGGCGTGGGAGTGGAAAGCATGCAGTTTTTCTTGTGGGAGAAAGATCCTGGCTAGCAAACTTTCTACAAGAAGGCCTAGATACTCCAAGCAATGACTTGGTTCCAGCGCTGACAGTTAATTGTTCAGAATTTACCCTATCCTCTGTAGAGTCCTAACCATTTGCTTTCAGTGCAAGGAATTGTCCTGGATTTTGAGGTCTGTGGAAAAGGAAAGGAGCATTTCTTAGTGGTCTACCTAAAAGGTAGAGGGTTTTCCTGACTGAGGTTTTGCTGAGGGAGAAGTATTTTTTTTCCCCCTCAGTAGCATCCTTGAAGTTGTCCAGGGATTCGTCAAAAATCTCCCTCAAGGGCATGTGCAAAAGGCGTTTTTTTTTTTACCTTCTGAATGGCAGGCAAATGATATCTGATAACCCATCTACACAGTAGCAAAAGGCCACCAGCATGTGCTTCTGTTGCTGGAGGATAATCCCATCAGGATAGACCCTGGACCCCGAGACATAGCAATTGATGTCCTCTACCGGGATAATAAAAGCTTTAAGACAGGAAATGGACAGATCCACTATGCGGACAGTCAACTTCTTACAAAACCCCTCAGCAATAGGATACCGCTGGGCAAACGCTTGGGGAGGTGGGGGGTTTCTGGCTTAGGCTAATTCCCTGTACAAGACAGGTTGTAACAGTGAATGCACTGGAAAGGACAACCAGTTTGGGACTCCTTAGAGAACCAAGGCCACTGACCTTAGGTGTGTCTGAAGTAGGTTGCACCAGGTCAATGCATGCGTGTACTGTGTCAAGGACAGAAATGGTGTCCCTGAGTTTTTAAGTAATGTCAGCAGAATGAGACTCTTGACGTAGCAAGTCATCAATAACAGGCACGCTACTCTACTCATTGTACTCACCGGACTGTGCAAGGGCAGCTGAAGTCACGGACTCACTCTGAAGGAGAGGGTCAGCCACCCATTTGTGTCCCCTTACAATTCTGATTTAGCAGGCATGGCTGAACTCTTCCCCATAAATTCAGACATTGTGGCAGAGAAATCCTCCCTGCATAATACAGAGGAGGCAGCAGCCTCAGAAGAGGTTAAGGATAACTCCGAAAAGTGCTAAAACTCAGACAGGGGACAGTTATTGGGGGCTATCTGTGCCTTGGCCTTTGGAAGGCCCACTGCAAATCTCTCAAAAACGGTTAGATCACAAGCTGGCAAGGCCCGCGGAACTGGTGCCTTTGCGATATTATCTGCCATACTATTGTATGTAAGTGGGGGATTCCCCAGGGGGTACTCAGTCCTGTGAGGGAGTAGGAAGGGGATAATGCTGCCTTTGACCTTGTCACTAGACGCAGCAGGGAGCCCAAAATAAATCTGTAGATCTTAGTGGTAGTGCGTCAGAAGATACTGAGAGGTCCGCATGTGCTCGGTAAAATAGCACATGAATACAGAGTGTGCCAGCTTTTAGGGACTGTGCAGACACAGTGTGTAGCACAGGCAGTGAGCTCAGCATCTGCATAGTCTTTGCCTCTCCAGCAGGCATAGTGCCTAGGGAGTCTTCCAGCAGTTGGTGCAGCATGACTCTGGACTTCCAAAGCACCCTACAGCTAACTCTCACAAACCACAGAAGGTGTCTAGGAGAGTACATTTTGCAGAGCCCAGTGTACAATAATACATTACGACCAGCCTAGCTTCTTCACAATGGGGTCTGGGTACGGCATCCAAGGCTATGGACAAGCCGAAGTTGAAAAATAAGCTGCATTGGCTGAAATCTTGCCATAAGAAAAAGTAGCTTAATAAATCTGAAATAATTTGCTTCTCTCAAAGTGGGTGAAAGACATCCACTGTCCAAGGTCACTATAAAGAAAATGAAGGCATGCTGGGAGTGGGAAGTATGGAGTGGGAGAGGTTATATTTGCCAGTGCCCTATCGCCTGAAGGCCGCAGCAGCATAACCCAACACAGAAATTATATTTTCTAAAAGAAACTAGTGCCAAGTACTTAAACAAGTCTAGACAGCCTTCTGCAGTCAATGTTCTTGCAGTGAACATGCTGATAGGAGATAGGAACAACATGACAATCAGTGTGCTGTTGCTCCTTCACTATCAAATTAGCAAGCTGTGGGTGGTGTCTAGGTCTTGCTGCAGCAGACGTCCTACATCTGGCTATGCCGTCTACCATGGGTGGCTAGATCACAAGAGTGGCTGCAGAAACGTACACATTTGTTTTGTAGGTAAACCATACCCATATGTATGTATTTCACGTTAGTAATGAGCGGTTTGCCTGGAGTTCAGCTTTAAAGCAAACCAGTACTGATAGACTGTATATGGTGGTTGCCGCAGCTGAGTTCTCTTGAAAGTGCTGGTTACCAGACTGCCACACTGATACTTTGAGTTCTATACACTGAGTCACTGACCTACTTTCATTGATAGTCTGCTTGTTCCAAATGCATGACTCAAAAGTATTGAATCCAGATATAGCCATCACAGGAAGCCATCAACAGCACCCTACTTATTCTGCCCATGATAGGTGTCCTTTAAATATGCCCTTAGTCTATGTGACATTGTCTAGAGGGATGCTGGTAGCCATAAAATTACATTACATGCTACCATACACTTGAAATTCATGTTTGAAACACTCATGTCTGCTAGTGCTTTGATCTAGTTTGTAAACCAATCAAAAGTGGGGCTGCGGCATCAACCTGGACTGATATCAGCATTCAAGTCAGAGAATTGCAATGGGTGTAATGTCTGAACAGATAATATTGTAGTTGGCTCAATACATTTTTCATACACTGGGTGCCAAATGAGCATATGCTAATTGTCCCTGTTAGCAGTCATGTGTATGAACCTTTGGCTGGCATATGAGAGGAAATCATATGCAGGCTAAAAGTTATGAATGAACACAAGTGAGGGGAGGTGCATGGTCTAACCATCATGTGCATGTTTTCTGCATTGTATGTTAAACCTCTCCTTGCATGTATGCGTTCCCTCCCTCCATCCAAAAACATACCAGAAAATCAACTGGCCATATAGTGAAATGCTCTCTATAAAGCACTGCAGAATATGCCAGAACTAATAAAATGAGTGAAACAAGTCAAATGTATTGATGTAATGACTGTGTAAATGGAGTGACTGTGTAAATGGAGTTGACTTGCCCAGCACTCTCTAGTGTCTCCTTTTCATTTCTCAAAGCTGCCAAAAGCAGCTATCAAAAATATATCTGGATTCTGATAAATGGACCTCCAGGATTGCCTGGCAAGCAATCCCAATAAGTGTGTAAGTATATCAAATTATGTTTCTACAGCCAAATGTAATACATTCAATTGCAATTTTATTTCAAATCAAAATTAGTGCTCAATTTGTATTAAATAACAAAAGGTACCAGAAATCTAGCATACATCAGATATAACAAACTCATTTTTCCTATTAGTCAGTGATTTCCATGTTAAATCTTCTGTGAAAATATACAAATCTCCCTGTAAAAGTGAACTTACTAAAAACACAAGTAATCAAAATGTACATTACAGTCACCACTGAAAGAAATCCAAGTGCCTGGATTGTGATAAGGCACAACAAGACTGGATTTTGAGGTAAGGTTGTATAGTTTGTCTATCTCAGCATGATGTGCAATGCTTCTGTGCAAACACAAAAGTCGGTCTTAACCAATAAAGTGTCAAATCTGTAGTGACATTTTACTTAGGCACAAAGTACACCCACAACATCAAAACACACAAGGCTGGAAATAATCCAACAATTCTGAAGCTTCCCATGAACCCAGTTTACACTTGCTTTCAAATTAGAGGAAAATGTCAAACTAAAGAGAGAGTGTTCCATGTCCCGTTACACTTCGGAGGGGTGCAATGGCTGTATTCTTGCTTAAACCAAAGCATTACCTTGGAAACTGGGTTCCACTGCAAACAGGCTAGCTGTGGAAGCATTCTCCTTTTAGAAAGGAAAAGAACAGTACAATTCCATAATTCAGCATGTTTCATTATGAACTTGATTATGGCTGCATTGCACTAAAGTGATTCATAAATTATACAACTGCTAAGCGTTTGTTATAAACAATGATTTCGTACATACAGTCTTCCACATGATACATCATTCTTAATTATAAGACTTAAGATAAGTGACCTTATATGCACTTGTATATATGAAAAATAGTTGATCAAAGCAACCTATTTACAAAAACAAAACAAAAAAAGAGAACTCATGGATTCATTTGGAGTGAAAATTTACTCCATACAAGTGATTTGAGAACTGTATAAACAGTGTAACATAGTGCCCAATGTGGTGCCAACATAAATTATTTCATAACAAACATCAATTCTGCAAAATGTGCTTCTTGCAAATATATTAACATAGATAATGGTCAACCATTGCTTTGTATAGTGAAAGCGACTGGCTTTTGTGTGGAATAAAGTACAGTAAGGTAAAGATTCTATGTGTTTTTTTATCATGCTTTACAAATGCATTGTATATACAAAAGACTGAAAACAAGGATATACAAGCAAGTCATTAGTATGCAGAAATGCGGGATGAGGCATGTGTTTCCTGGACCTCTTTAACCAATAAAATGCGCGTTAACATTTGCTCCATCACCTCCTCATTCACAGGCTGTCCAGAGTACCAGATAGGGCTATTTGGGGCGACCACTGGTTCGGGGACCAAATAGAAGGCATCTGTAGGTCCTCGGGCCCCTTGAGGACTAAAGAGAAAGAATGATTAAAAAGGAGTCATCTTAAAGATCACACTATAGAGCAATATGAATACTCGTATCAATATAGGAGCATGCGGCGTGTCAATATGGGAGGAAAACAATGCAAGATATAAAATAATGCAACTTGTCACCCTGCTGCTTGACAGCACATATTGTCAAGAGGATTTGCTTTTATCTACTGTGTTCCCCCGAAAATGAGACACTGTCATATTTTTGGCTCAAAAAAACACACTAGGTCTTATTTTTTTTAATGTACAACGGTCTACATGTATTCATGTACAAAAATATGGTGATCAGGGGTGGCGTACCTTTCCAAGAGCAATTTGCTAACCAATCGCTGGCCAGAATGAGCAAAGCGCACTTTCACTATGGATTTCTTCACAGGCGGAGTGCATTTGGTATCACTCCGCCTGTGACAGGAGCCGGCGCTATAGAGGAAACATCAGCTTATGCGGCTCTGCTCCCTCCACTGCCGCCTCGCTTCCTCTAGCGTTGGCACCGCTGATTCTCTCCCGCGGCTCTTCAAGTTCCCCCTTATGCCACCACCGGCCCTGACAATGGTCACAACTAGGTCTTATTTTCGGGGTAGGTCTTATATTTTAGCAATTCCTAAAAATAGTACTAGGTCTTATTTTCGGGGTAGGTCTTATTTTCAGGGAAGCACGGTAAGTAGTACATAGTTTTGTTCCTGTACGACTTTCAGGACACAGATGGAATATCCTGGTAGATCCCTTCGCCAATGCGTCTGATTGGCACTGTTCAGGACATTAAGAGCTCTCTAGTTTATCAAAACAAAAAGCAGAAAAGCTCAAAACTGAGTGGCTAACGCCTGTGACACATTGCGCGGGAAGCAGCGCGGACCTTCGCGTGCAGCGTCATGTCACTTTCACTCCGCCATGTCAGTTTGCGAGAGCTCGCATAGCTGAGCGTGCAGAGATGAAAAATGTTATCTTCAGCCAATTGGCTTGCGCATATAAACCCCTGCGTCAGGATGCGGAGTCCATTTGGTTGTTACGCATGAGCCGATTGGCTGAAGATGCAGTCTTTCATGTGGCCGTGTTCAGCTCACACACTGTATGCGAACGTCCGTGCCTTACTGCTTTGCTCCACACGGATATGCATGCAGTGTGTCACAGGCTTTATGGTGATAAAAGGCCCAATAAAATGTACACTACAAAAAGAAAATTCTGAACAACTGCCTTACTTCCAGCTGTACACTATGAAGTGTATGGGCACCCATACCATCCCAATATTAATATCAATCGATCACAGTTAACCCATTGCATGGTTACTTACAAAGTGAAAACTTAGCGAATGAAAAGATACACCTTTTTAACCAATACTACTATGGCATCATTGGCTTACCTCTAGGTTATAAGAGAAGGTGGGGTGTTTCAGACCCGCATTAGAAATACTACCAACAGATTTGCAAGGCATACAAAAAGATTTTTCATTGTTGGATTCCCTTTCAATTAATGTCTACGTGAATCATAAGGTTATCCACTTTCATTTATACTCCAGTCAAACAAAATAAAAACTTAGCATGCAAACACACTGGGGAACTAAGGTCAGTGACCTTGTTGTTCACTGTGTCACTGCCACTAGGGAACCCTGCTCTACACAGTCCTGTGGTTGCTGCTAACTGGGCTCCTAAGATTTCCTGTGTGTCCTTCTTTACAGGTCAGCACACCTCAAATAGACAAGAATCAGTGAAAAGATAGCGGTATCAGTAAGAATATGTCTGTCCCCTGTAGTTCAGCAGTTTGCCAATTACGCATCCTCCTAATCATTCAGAAACTAATTATACGCCCTGCTCTGCCCTGTCTGTAGTCTCTATCAAGTGTTATGTGCAGCACAGTGTAGTTCTGAGAAACGAAGACACACAATGGCAACCAACCCGCATAATCATCTACGTAATAGCTTTAAAAAAAAAAGACTAATCCTTACCATTTAAAGCGGTAGAAGTCGTACAGTTTGATTGGACACTGCAAAGGATTATCTGGATTTTCAAGTTGTTCCACGTATGTTTCTTCTGCTACTAGTAAAAGAGAAAGAAAAATCACATTGAAAAGCATTTACTTTTTGAAGCAAGTGTGAAGTATAGTTTGTTATCCAGAAACTTGGAAAATGACTTTTTGCCTAGCTGAAAGAGTGAAGGGGACTATATTGTCATGATATGCTAAAGAGTTTCTCTAAATTGGTTATACATGTATTTTAAAACAATCAGTCCACCACTGCTAAAGACTTTTGAGAAGGTTCCAACCTACAGGATCTCTTCATTTCCAATGACAGCCAGTTTCCTCTCACAATTTGCACGGAATATATGGTGAGATTGTTGCAGGGCCGCAAAAAAGTTCACTTAAAGTCGAAGGATTTTTTTTTTATCAACCCTTGCAGTGGAACTACCCGCACACTGCAAGGGGTAAGTGCTCATTTGTGTCTGGGTGCTAAAATAACAAAGATACAGTAACCTGAAGCTCCTAGCCAGCCAGCTGTTACGGGGCTCCCTCCAGCCTGTCGCCCCATCCCTGCAACATTGTTCTCACATCTATACACTGTTTATAGACATGACGATTTGCAGGACCTTAAGACTGCTGCAGAAGGGGAGAGAAGTTGGAAGGACCGGTCTAGGAAGAAGTCAGCTCGGAGCTTTGGCCGAGTATAACCTAGACGCAAACGAGTGCTTAACCCTTGCAGTGCGGGAATAGCCCCACTACAAGGGTTAATAAAAAGTTTCCTGGAGTTCTTCTTTAATAAATCCTTTCATTATTTTCCCAAATCCTGTCATACCTTGTTTACTTATTAACTATTATTCCGTTACCACCTCTGAAAACGATCTAGCAAAATAAACTTGGTTTTCAAACCAGAACACTTCCAGTAGACTCCATACCTTTTAAGCCACCTTGAACTTGACCATAGAGCCTCAAAAATCGTATTGTACAGTTCTTGTCTTTTCCTATTCCAGGGTTCTTCCTAGTCTGCTTTGTGATCTTGGAGAAAGCTAGTTGTGAATGCTGCTCCACAGTCTTCAAAACAAAATACCTAACAAAAAAAAAAGAATATAACATTTCAAAACACAAAAAAAGTTAATGGAACACAACACCCCATGTATTGCCCTTTGATATAATAGTAACATGGCTCTTTACATCTCCTGGATGGCCAGCATTACATTGAACTGGTGTATGCATAAAAAAAAAAGGCATTATATTAGCTCTGATCTTCATGTGGTGAATGGGAACAAGTGACTAAGGACCTGTGTTGATGGGCCTTAGTTCGCTTTAAGCGGGATTTGCATTCCAATATAAGTCTTTGGGAATGCAAAACCTGCTTGAAGCAGGATAGAAGGTCAACGGCAAGTCAATGCACCTGGCAACAAATTATGAATGATCTAAAAAGCATCTCACACTGATGTTAAACCGACGCTATCGACAAAGCTCAAAACCCATTGACACAGGCCCATAAGCAAATTATAGACCACATACAAAAGCTCTTACGTTTATGGCAAAACCCTTGTAAAGCTGTGACCAAAGCAAAACAACAAAGCTAACAGTAGCAACATAAGCTGTCAGGACATAGCTGCTGCTGTAGTTCTCTCACCTCAGCACTGACCTGAGTTTTACCCACTTTCAAAATAAGAGAGATTATGTATGCCCCCAGGCAATGGCATGGGACAGGTCTCTGTCAAATGTGTCTAAATACTTACTCAACAAGCAGCGTCATACACGCAACATGTAGGGGACTTGTAGGCCCAATGTGAGCTCGATAAAGAGGCCTTCATGTTCATAGAATGTTGGATATATGACATCAATTGTTTAGAATATAGGAGGTGATGTGATAGTGGCACAGTTGGCATCACCTTGGGACTAATCTTTGGTTATATATTGCACTGTGAACATCCATTATATCATAAGCAGGGCGAACTCCTGTTCAATAACCACACTAGCTGTGCCACTGAAAAGAAACATAAAAAAACTAACTGTGTAGATCTGCTGTAATGATGGGCTCGATGTTAGAGTCAAACAAGAGTTCGACTCAAACATCGCTAGTTTGTATGTTCGCCTTGTGAAGCCCTGATTGGGTAAAGCCTTGCACCTGACCACAGGTCAGGTGCATTCAAAAGAATGGCACCACAGCCAGGCCCGCAGTGCAATCACCCGCACCAGATTGCGTGGCACAGCAATTCCCACGTTCTGGTCCAGTGCGACCGCAAAAAAATAGTATAAGCACTATTTTTTTGTGATCGAACTTTGGGTGGGGGTGCTATTGACTTGAATGCACCACCACACCCCCTCCCGCAGAGAACAGGGCAGTATGCGATCCAGGGGGTTCCAGCAGCTAACCCTACTGGAAATATATGAACGTAGCCTTAAGCATGACTTCTGGAGGCAGAGTTATACATGGGCTGGCTTAAAGTTTGTTCTGTTTGCCAGTTTTGGAACCCGGCTGTTTAAGAATTCCTAACATTTCTCCATTCCTCAATGGACAAGAAAGAAAAGCACTTTGTATCAAATCTCCTTTCATAAATATTGGTTACTTTGTGCCTACCAATATTAAAAATTACAAATGGAAAAGACACCAGGTATATTTTAATATCTTACTCACTGTGGCATGCTTATGTTCTGTAAATTTGCTTACTTGGTATTGAAATACATGAGAGTGAAAAGTAATGTTGTAGGTGAATGGGCACCTAGCTGCTTGCAGTCCCATAACATCTCCTCAGATATGCAGCTTGCAATAATATAACCTGCAAGAAAGGTCATTCCGTTATATATGGAGTACATAAGCTTGAAATACTTCAAAGTCACTATTTATGTACATACCAAATGGATTTACACGTGGACACCACTCTTTAAGTACTTCATGAAGCTTTTCCAAAAACTTGGAATAGTAAAGGTCAGCAAAGATATTGTCAATTCTGTTGTTGTCAAACATATGCTAGAAAAACAGATTCAAAAGAAGTTAGTACTACACATGGTAAAGCCTAAGTCACATAGGCATTGGTTTGTATACAGAAGCCTAAAGAGCAATGTGTATCACAAGCATCTGCAAAGCATACCTCTCATTTCATGTACATCTCTAAAGCAGTTAACCCCTTCATGACCAAGCTTGCGTTTAGTTTCTGTTCGTTAATGACTGATGCACTTTTTCCATTTTTGCTGTGTGATTCTTCCACAGCAGTAATATACTTTCTTACTAAACGTACCCACACATATTATATATTGTTTTTTAGAGGGCAGATAGGGCTGTATATGTATATCACATGTGTGCCTAATGCCTCACTTAGTATGAATAAAATATAAAAACGCGGAGG